CAGCCACAAGTAGCTTTCACTTAACCTTCTGCACTCATTCCTTCTATTCAGAACGTTAGCTGATTTGATGGTTTCTATCGCCTCCCTAATCTTACGCTTATTGGTTGGTATAGTCCCCATTTTTAGCTAAGCGCTTGGCATTAGACCCATCTATTTGGTGTCCTGTGCGAGCCATATTTCGCCAATTCCGATTTTTGGACCAACAGACCTTGGCAGTCTGTTTTGTGTTCAGATTAACCTCTTATGTATAGGCCTATAGGTCTCTCCCACATTGCTGCTACCGCATGAACACAAAATCTTGTAACATCTCGATCTGGAGAGAGGGTCAGAGTATTCTCGAAAAGAAGGCAATACCGAGGAAAGTGTTATTTTCACTTTATACATTGTCTCGATGTCCCACCTCATTAATTTGCCTATCTTCGACAGATTACACGATGGCAGCATAAGGATTCTGATAGAGTGACAACTTTTTAGCTAGCCCAAATGTGTATTTCCCTCCATCATATTTGACCATATTCTAAAATAATTGTCAATCAGTCCTCGTCGATAATTATTCTCAGCCAGAATTTTTGGAGGACTTATTTGCACAACTCTACTATCGCAGCTCTAAGGCAATCCCCATACAACTTACGATGAGACCAACATACGAATCCCTTCCACTCGCCTCTTCAAACGAAATGAAAATTACTCCAGCATCAAAATAAATTATATATTTAATAATAGAGGACATGACAGTATAATAACTATTTGAGTTTAAAGAATGCTTCCAATTTTTGACTTGGAATTCATATTAGATGAAACTAATATAAATATGTCTTCTTTTATGCCCATATGTCCTTAGTTTGAGTGTATTTGAACGTAAGAAACTTAGAACACATTACACTAGGCGTTTAAGATCATTTCCTGAGTGAACTTATTAATCAGATTCATTTTTAGACTGATTGACCATTTCTGCCTGATGCATTAATTGATTTCAACTTACGATATCGCTGTTTTATAATTAAAATTTTACAGGTGCATCTGTAGGATGTGGTGAAAATTTGAATTTTAAGGATACTGTATTTTTTAAGTTATTTTCCTCCAATTAACATTTTAATAATGAACATACCTGAATACTTCTCTTGATCTAATTTAGCGATTTTAATTTAGAATACACTAGCTGACTCTGGTTCTGCGACCTCCGACTTACGTGATCTCGTCCTTCGATTACAGACGTCCCTCTCATTGCAGACAACAGGCCTCGATAGAACAATAGTTGACCAAGACTCGCGAACAGCCTCCCCGCAACCAGTAACTAATTACACACGAATCGACCTTTCAATGCCATCACAAAGCCCGGTTATCGCCTCGCCTTTTAAGACTCCGAGAGCACATCGCTCTTTACGATTGAAGCCAAGGTCTCGTCCTCGAATCAGGCATCATCTGCTTTCTAAGGCCAGACTCAATAACTCCGTCCAACCACTTTATGATGTAGGTTTGTCTTGCCCTGTGGTGTCACTCAATGCCAGTTCTGACTCACAATCCCCTTGCTGTAAACCTGCACCGACGCCCTTTGAAGAAGCATCGTCTCAGACCTTTCAAGCCTGCATTCTAGTCGTCCCTAGTCCATTAACACAGCGCTCACTCACTAGCGCCTGCGATGAAGATGTGGACTCAGATGCACATCTTGGACAACAACCGATATCAGCTTCAGCTACCTGTTCAAATGAGGTTCCGTCAGATAATCTGCGATGCTCGAAGGGCGAAAAATCTCTTCTATGTCAACAACACCGAAGTCGCAGGCAACGACGTGCAGCGGTCCGCCAGTCTGCCAGTCGGTCAACGGTTTCCGCGCCAACGTCCCCGCGCATTACCACTATGACAGAAATGCACACTGCTAATGGGGTAGCTATAGGCCATAGTGACATTGAAAAACAAGCGCCATCAGGAAACACGTATATCATATGCTCTGGTCGCCAAAATCGAAATAAGAACTCATCCTCTCCTTATCCTATTGGTAAAGGTGCCGCCTCATCTGAACTGCAGGGGAGACCTCGCACCTACGTTGGCCGTGCAAAACAGACAAAGCACGCTGAATACAAATGCTCCAGCTTTAGCAGTGCTAGTGGGGACGAAAGCAGCGATACTCTGAGTGTCTCCAGCCTGCGTTCAGGGCGAATGCGCAGACCGACTGGAAGATGCAAAAAACCTCATCGATTGGTACGCCCTTCTACAAAAAACATTGTTGGTTGATCCCACCGGAAGACTATAGTAGATTATCCCTGTTCTGCAGTCGTTTGGTTTTACTACGACGTTCCTTTTGACGCAGTCTACGAGATAACCTCCCTCATTTCGAGAAGAAATGGGCTAAGCTTTTCTC